CAGGAGGAGGAGGTGATCTGAAGATCATAGAAAAGAAGACATCAATACTAAATCATCAAAAATATTACATAATAAAGCCTCATTGCCAAGAGGTGCCAACCGTTCTTACCCCCTCAGTGTAAAGTCAGCGGGTGCACACACCAAAATGCCGGGTGAGCCGGCGAGGCACGTATTCCCAGGGTGAGGGGAGATGGAGACCCGAGTTAGAGGCTTTAGCGAGGGGTAATTGTAGTATGATGGGGGAGGAGAATTATCTTGTATCCACAACAAATTCACCTATGATAAACCAAACCTATATATAGTGTGTATAAGAGAGATGATACTGTACCAAAGGGCCCCCTATACTAAGCCAACCAAGCATAACCAGTTACACCCCTTAGTTAAGGTCAGAATAGTAGCTAGAGAAGAATATATATAATATATATATTCCATCTACAATGATTGAAAGAGCATAATTATTCTCTAGGCCATTACTCACCAAAAGAATACGGCATTACGGCATAGGAGAGCATTTGGTGTAATGAAGCCTTAGGGCAAACTCCTGGCATCTTCCCACACCGAACGCCGCCAGTACAAGTCAGGCCGTCTCCAGCAGTACACTATTTTATTCCACCGCTCCAAGCTTGCTCCTGTGATTGACTACAATCTCAATACAAACTAGTAGTCCATCACTGGAGCCATTTTTTTTTTTATTGTTGTTTATCCGATTAACCGATTAATCGAACTTAATAATCGGCTAACTAATCGATTTTGAAAATAATTGTTAGCTGCAGCTCTAGATGGATCTCCTATTTGGAAATGCTTGCAGCTTCATTGTCACTTAGCAGAGCCAGTGGCGTGGGACCAAAAAACAACCTATATAATTGGCCACTACACTGATCATCATACTAAGGAGAATGCTTTCCACTTATTACCAATGTACGTGGGACCTTTCTCCACTAGAATAAATGTCCCCATTGAAAGATCCCCCCTTCACCTCCTGCCTCAGTGAAATCTGTAAAATCTTAGATTTCTTGCTTTGCTTTTTTTTCCTGGTAATAATGGTCACAAAGGCACATGGAGAGGTTTTTTTTATCGCAGTCTGAGTCCTTGCTGGGAAGATTCACCCTGACATGGGTTTTAACAAATGTGACATGGCTTGTAACAGACGTGTAAACTTTGCAGAGATACTTTAGTAGACGCTAAAAATTATGACAAAGCTGCACATTTTCCTTATTGGTCTGAAACAAACCATACCTCCCTTAAATGTTTGAGATGAGAAAAAAGGGCCACCTTCCAGCACAATGTATTTAAACAATAGACACACCCCTTCCATGCCCTCAGTTATGCAGACTATTAAAAATATATGTGCAAAAATTGATTGGTTAAACCCATTTTTTCACCATCACTTTTCCTATATATTGGCTTTTTGAAGTAGCACACAAGATAATTAGGAGGCAAGATACAGATTTTTACTATAGAATAACACTTTTGCAAATGAAATAGAATGTTTCATAGATATCTGTACCTCAGACTAAAAAGAGGAGCAGCTAAAGAGGACAGAGGGATTTTGGTTCCAA